AAAAAAAAAGAAGTTCGCAAGATAAAGTTTGACGATTCTAGTCCTCCTACTCTCGATTTGATTTGTTGTGTCATGAGTTACGGGTAATTAAAAACCATGCTATGGAACTTAGATTATTTCCAATGTTTATACCTAAAAAATGTTGTCCTCGTCATTTATTTTTATTTGGAAATTTGGTCTATGTTTTGTATGTTTTTATTTGGAAATTTGGTCTATGTTTTGTATGTTTTTGTGCATATTATTGTTGAGATTTCTTCACTTATATATTTAAAATGATGAAGTCGTATTTCATCAATTCAAAACCAATCTATTGTATGAATTTTTGTGAAAGATTATATTATATATCTAAGTTTTATTTAAAAACAAAAACAAGTCCGGTCTAACTCTGAACCACTTTAGGCTTTAAAATTCAAGTTATACTTCAGAAAAACTTCGAAAATAAAGGAATTCAAAAAATAAACTTACGGTTACCCCCCCTATTATCATATCACATAATTCTGTTTGAAGTTGAACTACGACATTGAGTTCCAGGTATAAAGATCATTGATAATTCTTTGAGTACAACAACTTTAGGATGAAGAAAAACTAAACCAGCAATTTTGTTCATAACTACATTATTACATGAGCAAAGACCACGAAGAAAAAGGAAAAGAAGAAGAAGAAGAAGCTGAGGTCCTAAACATCATCTACCCACTTCACAAGGCACGTACCAAGTTCTCTCCCTTTTTAACTACTAAAGGATCCAAAACCTTTCTCCACCCGGCATAGTCTAGAGCCGACCCGGAGTCTGGTAGTGGAAATCCATTGACAAAGAAGAAAGGTGTCCCATAAACCCCTCGTAAGCAACCAAACTGCAAAACAGAACATATCCACGCACTACATGTTTACTTTAACAATAGAAAACAAAGTCAATCATACTCTTCTTCTTTTGAAAGCCTCCCCTTCTTACCTTGAAAGCAACTCTTGTTGCGTGATCTGTTCTCGTGTCATTGAACCCAGCTTTGATTGTGGAGCCGTATGAATCTCCGAGTGCCTTTGTCGAGAATTGAACAATCTTGTCTACGACAGATGCTCTCGACAAGTTAAATGTAGCCTTGCCGTAAAACTGTTCCTGTTTCGACAAAAAATCTACCAATTTCAGCCATTACCATATATAATGTGCTCTGTCACTTAAGAAGTCGGTTGCCATGATTTAATTACGAGTAAGTGTTATAAGATGACTTTCCTGATTAATGAAAATACATGATTTCCCTGCTCGAGACTTTCTATAAGGTTATACAAAATTTGTTTGAAATTTGTCGGCACAATAAATGAATCAGGCCAAAAATGAACTTCTTGGATAACTGACTAAATTCCTTTACTATAGAATGCCAAGTTGCTCTATATCAAAAAATACTGAAAGGGGTTGTAGTTTGACTTGGATGGTAAGCAGCTAAAAGCCTCAAACACAATATTGTGAGGATTCAAGTTTTGCAGAAGTGAATCAACAAAAACTTGAAGAGTACAGATTCACACACACACACACACAGAAACAATATCTTATTTTTCGGTCCTACAATTGATCGAATAAAAGACTAGACTAAAGGCATCACTCGTCCAAAACCATTACAATCAGCTTTAGGGCATGATAGAATTGCATGATCAGCTGATAATAAAAGCCAAACATAAAGAAGACAAAAATCTATATTTGCTTCATATGGAATGAGATTCAGCCTTACCTGGTGATGAAAAAATGCCTCTAGTAAGCTGTAAGTGGCTGAAGTGTCGCGTTTATTAACTATATGAAGCGCCCGAGAAGTTGCAAAAGCATTGTCATGATAACTGTCGATCAAAATTGGAATTTCGAAACAAATCATAACCACTCTGAACCAATTTGTGCTTAGATAATCTTATTCACTCCTAAGCTCAAATATTCTCTCATGACACGCTTTTAGCATTTATACAAGTTCGAAACTTAACCCAAAATAGCTGCTAAATAGCTAGGACAACAAAAAAATATAGTATAAGACGTTTGTACCGTAGTTTTGTAAAAAATTCTAGACTGATCGGATGTTTTTCTTATAAAGTCATCAATCACTTAATGTATCGACACCTAGGACACGTGCCAATACACGATTTGTGAATAACTGTGGATGGCTCCATAAGGCGAGCCATCCGATGGCTCCATACCAAAACTGGTAGTTTTGCAATCTCACCTGCAGATTAGTTAGCCATTCCCACCTTTTTTTGAACAGCAACACAGAACTAATACATAAGAAATTAGGAAAACACATACACATACACACACGAAAGTGTGAACGACGATTAACAGAGACTCACGGCAAAGGGAAAGTGTGAAGGACGAGCGTGACTCGAGAGCCGTACTGCTCTAAGGCATCCTTAAGAGGCGGCCACGAATCACGTGAATCGGGGCAAACCGGGTCGAAAAATGCCTCGATCAGCGCGCCACCCTCGTCGGCCGGTTTGCCGCCGTACCAGAACCCGTCCTGCCTCTCCGGTATAGAGGACTGACCCGATATCCGTGTAAGATGATACACACACAGTATAGCGAAACACCAAACAGATTTCTCAAATTCCATCCTTTCCTTTTTCTCACGCAGATATTTTTGTTTGTGTCTAGTCGCAAGTAGTCTACCAAGCGGTGCTAAAAAGAACTGCAAATTTACAAGAGAGAATTTGTTGTAGTTGGGTGTAGTTAAATTTATCACTGCTTTTGTTTTATTTCGGTCGGATGGTTCGATTTATGGAGTCATTTATGATTATTCAGCAATAGTGTATTGACACGTGATACAATTTGGATATCTGTCATCCATAGCATTTTTGTACAGTGTAGTCACTTGTTTTTTGTGAAAATAATAAGTCATTTTGTTTTATGTATGCTTACTCCCAGATTTTTTAATAAAAAACAAATATATAATTTAGATTTTATGAAACAACAATATGTAATTTATTTTATGACACTAGAATTTGTTTCTGTAATTCCATAAATCTGTTAGAGTCTTTTACTTTTAAATTGTTGTTAAGTTGTGTTGACTAAGTCCTAGTCAAAGTAGTTGTGATTTCCAGAAGTTTGTTGATGATGGGATTGTGCTATCCCTGATTTTTTTGGTGTTCTGTTAGTATGATTTATGTTTTGCCTATAAAAGGGCTGTTGCTCATGAATAAAACTAGAGTTTGAAGTCCATTATTTTCTACCTTTCTTTGTTTTGTTTACTGCTGATTTCTAACAGTGGTATCAAGAGCTTTGTGAGATCTGAGAGTGAAAAAGAAAAATAAAAAACACAATGGCAGCAGAGTCTAATTTTGTTCAAGCAACCATCCCACGATTTGATGGTCACTATGACCATTGGAGCATGTTGATGGAGAATTTTTTGCGCTCTAAGGAGTACTGGTCTATTGTTGAATTTGGTATTCGGGAGCCCCCACCAAACATGGTTCTAACAGAAAACCAGAAAGCTGATTTGGAGGCTAGAAAGCTGAAGGACTTGAAGGCAAAAAATTATCTCTTCCAAGCTATTGATCGTCCTATCTTAGAAACTATTCTTTGTAAAGATACTTCTAAGAGCATTTGGGACTCGATGAAGAAAAAATATGAAGGTTCGGCTAGAGTGAAGCGTGCACAGCTTCAGGCTTTAAGAAGAGATTTTGAAATGCTGAATATGAAGGATGGAGAATCAGTCACCAGTTACTGTGCAAGAACCATGGAGATCAGCAACAAGATGAGATTCCAGGGAGAGAAGATGAATGATGTCACCATTGTGGAGAAAATCCTGCGCTCGTTATCTCCAAAGTTCAACTATGTTGTCTGTTCGATTGAAGAGTCGAAAGACATAGATGAACTTACTCTTGATGAACTTCAGAGCTCTCTCATAGTTCATGAACAGAAGATGAATAACAATAATTCAACTATGGAGGAACAAGCTTTGAAGACCTCTACTACTACTTATTCCAATGAGGGAGGAAGAGGACGAGGTAGGGGCAGAGGAAGGGGAAGGGGAAGAGACCAGCAATTTGATAAATCAAAGGTAGAGTGTTTCCGCTGTCACAAATTTGGTCACTATCAATTTGAGTGTTACACTAAGTTGCCTAACATAAAGGATCAAGGAGAGCAGTCAAATTTTGTGGAGGAACAGGAAGTAGAGACTTTGCTTATGGCAGTTCATGAACCAAAACTTCAGGAGGAGTCAGACTTTTGGTATGTGGATACGGGCTGCAGCAATCACATGTGTAAAAGTAAGTCTTCTTTTTGTTACTTAAATGAAGACTTTAACTCTACTGTAAGTTTTGGAGATTCTTCTACTGTCAAAGTAATGGGGAAAGAGGATATTAAGATTAAAACCAAGAATGGTTTCACAGAAATTATCTCAAATGTTCTCTATGTTCCTGACTTACAAAGCAATTTGTTGAGTGTTGGTCAGTTGCAAGAAAAGGGTTATATAATTACCATCAAGAATAGTGCGTGTGAGATATATGATCCTTCAAGAGGTGCCATTGTTGTTATCCAAATGAGCTCAAACAGGTTGTTTCCTATGAAGATTGAATGTGCTCAGACTTGTTTTACGGCTGAAGTGAAGGATCCTTCATGGCTTTGGCATTTTAGATATGGTCATTTGAGTTTCGGAGGGCTGCAAACATTAAATCAGAAAAATATGGTGAGTGGCCTTCCTCAGATTGCAACTCCATCTCAAGTGTGTGAAGAATGTGCTGTCAGCAAGCAACATCGTTCTTCATTTGCCAAGGGTAAATCATGGAGAGCAAAGAGTATTCTGGAGCTGGTGCATTCAAACATATGTGGCCCTATAAACCCAATATCTAATGGAGGTAAAAGATACCTAATCACCTTCATTGATGATTATTCTAGGAAGGTTTGGGTTTATTTTTTACAAGAGAAATCAGAAGCTCTATCTACCTTCAAAAGTTTCAAAGCTCGGGTTGAAAATGAAGCAGGAAAATCAATTCAAACTCTTCGTACAGATCGTGGAGGTGAATATTGCTCGAATGAGTTTGAATCTTTTTGTGCAGATCATGGGATCAGAAGAGAGCTTACAACAGCCTATACACCACAGCAAAATGGTGTGTCGGAGAGAAAAAATAGGACCATTCTCAATATGGTAAGAAGTTTGTTAGCTAGGAAAAGTGTTCCAAAAACTTTCTGGCGTGAAGTTGTGAATTGGAGCATTCATATTTTGAATAGAAGTCCTACCTTTGTTGTTAAAAATATGACTCCGGAGGAGGCTTGGAGTGGAAGAAAACCAGTTGTGGATCATTTCAAGATTTTTGGATGCATCGCATTTGCTCATGTCCCAGATGTGAAAAGAAAGAAACTTGATGACAAGGCTGAAAAATGCATTTTTCCTGGCATAAGTGAAGCATCCAAAGCTTATAAATTATTCAACCCTCTAACACAAAAGATTGTAATTAGCAGGGATGTAGTGTTTGATGAGGAAAACAGCTGGGATTGGAACAACAGGCAGCAGCCGGACAGAGTTCGCTATGATAATGAGCCTGAACAAGAGCCTGTAGCGCCTTGTTTGCATGAAAATTCAGAAACTCAAGCTGAAATTATTGCAGAAGAGGTTGAACCTCTTCGTCGGATTAGAAGACGACCAGGATGGATGAAAAGTTATGAGATAAGTGGAATTCCGGATCCCATTACTTACTTTGCTTTGTTCTCGGATTGTGACCCGACAACTTTTGAGCTTGCTGTTAAGGAAGAAAAGTGGAGAAAAGCTATGGATGATGAATTCATTCCATTAAAAGAAATGATACATGGGACTTATGTGATCTTCCTAAAGGGCAGAATACTATTGGAGTGAAATGGGTCTTCAAAACAAAGCTGAAAGAAAATGGCGAAGTCGATAAGTATAAGGCTCGCTTGGTGGCAAAGGGATACAAGCAACAATATGGGATTGATTATACAGAAGTTTTTTCTCCTGTTGCAAAACATGACACCGTTAGGTTGGTAGTGGCCTTGGCTGCTCAAAACTCATGGCCTATTTTCCAGTTGGATGTCAAATCAGCCTTCTTGCATGGACATTTGGACGAAGAGGTATATATTGAACAACCTCTAGGTTATGTTAAAGTTGGAGATGAGCATAAAGTTTACAAATTGAAAAAGGCTCTTTATGGACTGAAACAAGCTCCACGAGCTTGGTATAGTCGCATTGAGTCTTATTTTCTTAAAGCTGGTTTTTCCAAATGTCCGTATGAGCATTCACTCTTTGTTAAAATCGGTGAAAATGGAAAAATGATGATTGTTTGTTTATACGTTGATGATCTCATATTTACTGGAAGTTGTGCTGTTATGTTTGAAGAATTTAAAAACTCTATGATGAATGAGTTTGAGATGACTGATCTCGGTATGATGCATTACTTTCTTGGGATTGAAGTGGTGCAGTCACATGATGAAATTTTCTTGTGTCAAAAGAAGTATGTTGGAGAAGTTTTGGACAGGTTTCAGATGAAGGATTGTAATCCTGCAAGCACCCCAGCTGATACTAGTTTGAAGCTACACAAAGATCCTGAAGGAAAAAAAATTAACAGCACATTTTACAAACAAATTGTTGACAGTTTGATGTATCTTACTGCTACAAGGCCTGATATTACGTATTCTGTGAGTTTAATCAGTAGATATATGGAGAATCCCACGGAATTGCATTTGTTAGCTGCAAAACGAATCCTTCGTTACTTGCAGGGAACTAGAGATTTTGGCCTGAAGTTCAAGAAGAGTAAGCAATCAGTTTTGCTCGGGTATACTGATAGTGATTATGCTGGAAATCAAGATGACCGAAAGAGTACTTCAGGCTACATATTTATGCTTGGAACAGCAGCAATTTCTTGGTCATCCAAGAAGCAACCAATTGTCACTTTGTCTAGTACAGAGGCTGAGTTTGTTGCCGCAACAAGCTGTGCTTGTCAAGCTATTTGGCTAAGAAGAATACTTGAAGAGTTAGGCTCGATGCAATCAGAAGCTACTACAATATTTTGTGACAACAATTCAGCAATCAAACTTTCAAGAAATCTTGCTCTTCATGGAAGGAGCAAGCATATTGACGTGAAGGTTTATTTTCTAAGAGATCTTAGCAATGATGGACTCATTGATTTGAGATTTTGCAGGAGTGATCAACAGTTGGCTGACATATTGACAAAACCTCTCAAGCTTTCCTCCTTCCAGAACTTAAGAAAGCTCTTAGGGGTTTGCACCATTGAAAACCATGTTTGAGAGTTACATTAAACTGAAGCTTGCAAGTATTCAGTTTAAGGGAGGGTTTGTTAGAGTCTTTTACTTTTAAATTGTTGTTAAGTTGTGTTGACTAAGTCCTAGTCAAAGTAGTTGTGATTTCCAGGAGTTTGTTGATGATGGGATTGTGCTATCCCTGATTTTTTTGGTGTTCTGTTAGTATGATTTATGTTTTGCCTATAAAAGGGTTGTTGCTCATGAATAAAACAATTAGAGTTTGAAATCCATTATTTTCTACCTTTCTTTGTTTTGTTTACTGCTGATTTCTAACAAAATCAATTATATAATTCAAGAACTGCTTATATATTCTAAAAATTATTTCTGAAATTCCACAAATCA